AGGCACGCACCAGGCGAGTACCAGGCACGCACCAGGCGAGTACCAGGTACGCACCAGGACGAGTACCAGGTACGCACCAGGACGAGTACCAGGAAAGTACAAGGTACGCACCAAAAAAGTAACAGGAACGTATCAGGTACGCACCAGGACAAGTACCAGGTGGAGCGCACCAGGTACGCACCAGGTATTTGTATTTACTTTATTAAATCTCATGGAAATGCAGTTTCACAGAAGAAAAAAAATTAAGGCTCATGGAGAATGAAGCTCTACTTATTTTAGGTGTTTTATAAATTTAAGCTGATTTGATAATTTTTACTTCATGTTTATGTAAAGTTGTATAATTATCCTATAAAGCTGTGCTTTCTGAACTTTACTTCTTCACCCCAACTATACTGCTGAAATGTACAAATACTGGCAACAAGCCAAAACTTAAGATTTTTACAAATACTGAACGCAGACCAAAAAGCAAAATAGGGGCGATAATGTAAATGCCTGCATGCGTCTCTGTTAGCGAAATATGTCATTAACCAGAGGATGGATTTTAATGAAACTCATGAAGTCATCACCGGATGAACAAGTAAATCACTCAGGGGTCAACCTGATTCAAGATGGCCGCCACAGCTGATCAAACACAAGCTAAAACTAATCAGTGTCAGAGACAGCTGAAATGTGATGGTAGTAGCTGAGAGTCATCCCCAACACATGACGTTCTGAGAGACTCCTTCATTTTTAAATGTTTATTCCCTCCAAGTCTTTTGAACCCATTTCACCTTTGTTTACATTCTTTGTAACGGTGAAGATAAAGGCAAACATTTTAGTCAAATTCAGCTCATTAAACTCCCCCACTTGATGTTTTCTGAGCCGAACTTTAGCAAACATTGTTTTAATATAAACTAGTTCATGTTTTTAAAATTTAGCCTCGTCTTCCGTTTAGTATTAAAAAAGAAGCTTAAATCAGGAGAAAATTGAATGGAGTTTGGTGTGACGCACAGAAAATAACTGCGCCGTGGGACCTCCTTGTTGTTCTCAATGAAGTGAAACTTGATCCTCCGAGGAGGAGGAGGAGGTGGAGGAGGAGGTGAAGGGGGGGTCACCTCCATCGACAAACTGACCGACCTGAACAGAAAAATGTCCCCATGCTAACAGGAGCGTTTCAAGCAGCCGCCGTGAGCGGGGAAATGGACGCGAGCTGCCTTTGATTTGTTAGAAAATGGCGTTCGCCTCTTTAACCCGTAATCTGCCCCCACCACCACCACCACCCCCACCCTTCACGGCCAGCAGCAAAACGCGACGCTGTCCACCGTTAGCAAAAACAAGCTAGTGCTGCTAGCTGTCCGCCGGCGCGAGTCTTACCTGTTCGGTGGAGTTTGTCGTAAAAAGCGGAGAGAAACAAACGGACGCAGCTTTTCTTTCCTACATCGCCTGCAGCTTCTCCAATAAACACTCGGCTGTGGATTTTTCTCAATGGAGCCCCCCCCCCCCCAGACGAGCCGAGCGCAGCGCCGCCCTCCCATTGGCTGGGAGGAGCTGCCAGTCAAAGAACCAACCAATCGGGTTCGAGAGCGCTCTGACGCGCGCCCCTTGTGTTTTTTATGAATGGCTACGTTTCATTCATGAATCCACAGCTCTCTTAAAGGGCCAGAGCCACGAAACAAATCATTAAAACATCAAATAACAAGAACGTAACTTCTAGTTTTTACAAGTAGTTTAGTCTGATCAGCAAAGTGAACAAACACTTTTTGTTTGTTTTGCTTTTAAATGTCCAGAGGACCAGACTTACCTTTTTTAGATTTTTCTACCTGGGTTATTGAGCATGCGTCAGGACACAAATATAATTATATATCCATAAAAAAAAAATGCATCATAAAGCACGTTTCTTATATGTGGTCAAAAATACATTTATTTTCCTAAATTTGCTTTTACAATATTTATTCTTATAACTAGTGGAATTCTGATAAAAGCTTAAAATACTTGGAGTTGTACTCATAAAAACACCCTGATCCCAAACTGAATTGTACTCCGGTTGGAAAAAAAAAGTATTTGGACACACCTAATATTTTTCTATCGTTTTCTTATACTAAACTTTTTGAGTTATTAGTCACTGTGTTTACCTGTGCATGATTTTGTCTAGTTTTCACCCAGAATCCTTTAAATTTGACTGAATAATCAATTCTTTGCCTTTATCTTAGAACGGCTCCTTGAAACTGAAGTAAATTTAAAGTGCTGGGGGAAAAAGATCAATCGTGTTTATCTTTTTCCTTTGATCTACTTCACGTGAGCAGCAGAATCGTTTTGATCCTTTAATTCCTGCGATGTGTTTCCACTCCATCGACAGCAGCTGCAGTAAAATCAAACGCCCCACGTGATCGTCTGATAACCCCCACTGACTGCTCGGCACATTGGACAGCGTTTCAAAAGGTCCGGGACTTTAATCCAGACATGCTCATGAGGAGATTAAAGGTCAGCTGCAGCAAATCGGCGTCAGGACTCGGCCGCTCCGGGTCTTTAATCAAAGGGGCTGCAGGTAGACTCGTCTCAGATCCGTGGAGGAGTCGGTTTAAAGCTTCAAGGCCTTCACTCGTTCGGTCCTGAAAGGTTTCATTGCTTCCCGTCACATCCGAGGAAACAAAACAGTTTTACTCCCAGACTTCAGGCTCTTAGACTCAAGGTCATCAAATAGGAGGCACGGTTTGCAGTTTTTGACCCCCTCCCTCGTAAGACCAGCAGCTGGTCTGGGAACAAGATCCTCCCGGCTTTAAAAACAAACTTTTCACTTTTAAAAGTTTTCTATACGATTCCTTAAAATTTGGTATGTACCAGTTACCGATGGTACTCAACGGTACAAGTTCAAGGTTCTTTACTGCCATTTGCATCATGTGGTACATGAAGTAGAACAAAATTGTGTACTCAAAGTCCCTGTTACACCCAAAAATAGCAAAAATATAAAGTATAAAAAGAAAATGTATATGATTCAAGATATACACTGACATGTGCTAAACAATACGCTAAAAGATCTAAGATATACACATTATCACTTTATAATGCAACCATTACGTACCCAGGAAGTATCGGGTACATACCTAGTACATACTAGGTGTCTGGTATATATATCTAGTAAGTAGCAGGTAAATACCAGGTAGGTACCGTACTCGCTAAGTATATACAATGTTTACCCAGTAAAATACAGGAAGTACTTGATCAGTACCCGTTATATTATCTTGCAAGTCCCTAAATGGAGCATGGTACAGTAAATATCTTATACACACCAAATACGTAGCCTGTAAGTACAATGTCTTTACATCATAATGCAGCTTAGTGCCTGTGTGTACCAGTTAAGTACCTGGTACATATCCAGTATGTACCCAATATGTCTACCTAGTAAGAATCTGGTAAAGACCATGTACTTATCCTGTAGGTACAGGATATTAATTTACATCACAGTACAGTCGTATGTACCCGATTAGTATCAAGTGTGTACCCAGTAAGCACCTGTACAAACCCACAAAGTACCAGATACATATTAGTAAGTATCTGGCTTGTGTCCAGTAATTGCTCAGTATGAATGTGGTAAAATCAGTTAAGTATCGGGTATGTAGCCTGAAATTACAAGGTAACAAGTCACTTCTTAATGCAACCTGGTCCTTAAATGTACCCTGCAAGTATGAGGTATGTCCTAGATAAGTACCAGGTAAGTGTACTTATTAATATGGTACATATGCAGTTACTGTCCAGTATGTATAAGAAACTGGTAAGTACCAGCCACATATCCAGTTAGTATCTGGTACACATCTAGTAAGCACCTAGTATGAACCTAGTAAGTATTTGGGTAAGTAGCCTGGAAGTACAGGAAAACAAGTCACTTTTTAATGTAGTCTGGTCCTCGAATACACCTGGTAAGTACCAGCCACGTATCCAATTAGTAACTGGTATGTATCTAGTAAGAACCTATGTATGTACCTGGCAACAACCAAGTACACATCTAGTAAGCGCCTATTAAGTATCAGGTGCATAGCCTGGAAGTACAGGAAAACCAGTCCCTTCCTCATGCAGTCCGGTTCTTGAACGTACCAGGTAAGTAACAGGTACTTACTTGTACTTACTTGGTACATACCTGGTTTGTATCTAGTATGAGTCTGATAAGAACCCAAGAAGTATCGCGTACATGCCAGGTAAGTAACTGGTACATACCAGGAAAGTATCAAAAA